TTTGAATGATATGCGAACTTATCTTCAATTGATTTGTTGTTTTCACTGCGGCGGAAAGAAACCTTGAGGTAGTATTTGAGAATCAACTAATGTTCGATCAAGGCTGAGCAGACGACGCTTGTTTCCTCGAGACTCAATACTTGGGAAAAGTCGAGCACAGTACTCATTAAGTAGAGTACCATCAAGTACTCATGAGTCTACCTCAAGCTACTGAATTGTCTGACCGTACGTGTACAGCAAGTCCAGCCAAAATATTTATGCGACTGGACGATAGGAATTTCCCGCACGAGTATTGTTCCGGCGGAAGTCCGGCTCCGCGCAGTAAATTTTCCCAGAATCTCTGCCATATTCTGCGGAAGGGAAAATGGAAGAATACCAAGAATCGCATGAATCTAAATTATCCCATCCCGACATATTCTGCGGAAGGGAAAATGGAAGAATACCCAGAATTGCATGAATCTAAATTATCCCATCCCGACAGAAGAACGGCAAAAAAAAATTACGACTCCGTGGACACTTACGACTTGAAAAATTCAAATCGAGTCAGAATGCAGATGCTGCGCTTTTTCAAGCTGAAGTACGTGGAATAATAAAACCTCGGAGGAGATTTTCCGAAACCATAAGACGAGGGCCGAGAGTGCGCGTGGGCCCAAATGAGAAGGCACAAATGCATGGCGTCATAAAAGGACCATGAATCCAATAATGGAACATACGCTAAGGTTGATGGAGACTTCGTGAAGGACTTTAATTTTCTTGCAGAAGTTATAGTGGCTTTGGGAAGCCCTCAAAGTGCGGAGAGTCGTTCATTCACACAAGGTGACTGACTCCCCAGACTACAACGGATTTTCTTATCAATGGTGGCTTCTTCAATTTCAACTTTTTTTTTAATTTTTCAGGGTTTTCAGGATAAAGTCTGGAGGTGGGAACAGTCAAAACTGCCAGCGGTTGAAACCCCTTTTCTTTGCAAAACGGAAAGAAACACAAATATACAGTACTGCATTTACCTGTATTTATACTCGAGTATCACGTGCCCTCGAATAAGACGCGCACCAGGGTTTTGCGGTGGGAAATCTGGATGAAATACTATCCAAGAGTAAGACACGGACCTCATTTCAAGCAATTCTAAAAAGACACTATTTCAAAAAGAAGACCACCCCAGTTTTAATTTATACATGAATTGAACATGAATTTGACTGATTTTAAAGTGTTTCCATTTAAATAACTTTTCTGTTAAAATTGGTCTGAAATCTCCCAATAGAATCCAGAATAATGTTGTCATAAATTTATAAAACATGTTTTAAATGTATCCCCGCTCACCACCCACACCCCCGTTTTCCTCTAAAGTTTGAGAAAAAAGGTGCGCGTGGTACTCAAGTAAAAACGGTTTTCACATTTTCAGCGGATATACTGTATATACGTGCGTGACATTGAGAATATTCTAGATGATTTGCTTGAAGCGAAAAATCATAATTTTATGAAAAACACGCAACAAAACTAATGTATTCAAGATTATACTAAACATAATCTTCGATTGAAGCCCTATATGTACAGTACTTCCGCGAATCACCATAGCCTTCGATGAGAAAGGATCCGCAAGAACAAAAAAAAAAAAGAAAAACTCCTCTGTCAATGTATATATGAACAATCCCCATGTATTTAAAAAAAATTTACGGCATCATGTGAGGAAAAACTGAGTCTCATTGGAACTCAATCAACTCTCTTTTAATGCATATTTTTAGGCAACGGAATTCATGTTTTCATAAATGCGGTATTCGATTGGTCAATGGGACCAGTCGTAAACAGAGCAGTGCTGTGGCAAAAATAAATAGAACCAGATGAACACGAACGCACTTCGAGTCGACGGTGAAAAATGTCTGGGGTAAAAGTCGGTTCCGCGAAATGCAGGGGGCCTTTTTGGCGAGGGTCGCCATTTGCACGTGATGACTTGCCTCTCATGCCATAAATATTGTACCTAAAATTTTCTCCGCGCAAAATGTGCCATGCTTTAGCCCATGTTTATGAAACCCGTACAAAATAAATTGAGGAAATCCTTGCGACATGAGACCTGCCTGGAATTCTAGCGACCCAATCCAACTACAAACGCACCCTTCTGTGTCTACTCTTCATTAAAATGTAAAAAAAAAAACTCACGATTTTTCTCGCACGAAACCTTCCATGCTCCACTGATTTTGGACCATTACATGATTCTATCTTGTTTCCTCCAGCGTAGGTCGTACCCTTATATCGGGTAGGTCCTTTTCAGTACAGAAAACTTCACAGGTCAAAAAAGGGTCGGGAATTTCGGAGGTGTAACATCTGGCGTAGGCATGGGAAACACAGGAATCGCATTTGGCTTCCGATCTTTTCGCCACCAGGTTCTCTAACACTTGTGAATACTGTTTTATCTTCATGCTTCGGAATACAGCTGTACTCAGTTCGTAGGTTTCGAAAAGAAAATACGATTGATTCTTCGATGTTTAAATTCCCAGGAAATACATTCTCTCGAATATAGAGTGCATTATAGCAGTCAGTGTGCCTTTCTGCAGTATGCAGGCAACGAACACGTGAATTTTTGATAGGAGAAAAGCATTCGCCCTTCTTGAGTACAGTTCATTCCATTTTACAAAATTTAAACATGGACTTTCTCTATTCGTTCAATCCACAAATATCGTTGTCGAATCTCACGGTTTACGTTCCTATACATCGGTGTCTCCAGAATTTCGGTCCTTCTTGCGAAGTTGGACGATGAGACTGTTGGGTTGGTTGGGTCAAGTCCGACTATCTGATTTCCGGTCGGTGATTCAAGCGTCACCTGCTTGACACGCCGGAAAGAAAGGTCAGTCACAATGGTGAAAGGAATGCCCAACAGTTGGATACGGATGCTAATTCAGACGTTCGGAAATGAAGGTTCCGGAACAAATGTCGTCTGATCAACTCGTGCCATGGGAGAAACAGCTTCTTCGATGAATAGACTAGCCAGCCCCCCAAATGAGGGCCATCCTTGTGTTATTGCTTCGAGTTGTCAACCAAAAAATTTACCGGTGCCAAATTCAAAAATCAAGTGATCTACCAACAGTTGAGTAATCCAACAAAACCATGATTTTTGACAGGATTTGTGGTCGAGCATTGAAGAGTATGTAGCAGCAAAAAAGTTGAATATCCGGCCGAAGTTGAGTTGAGCCTCTTCCTTTTATACGTATAAAAAACGAACAACCAATGTTGACAAGGGTATCTAGCGGAAGACAATGCCCCAAGAATTGTATTCATTACTTAAATTTGTACTCTTATCTCAGAAATCACGAAATCAACAAAGACGAGAGCAAGCATTCCGTCAACTTTTTTAAGAATCCGGGAATTCTATCGAGAAGAAAACCCGACAACCCCGATTGGCAGGTTCGTGGAACGAGTGCAGTATTGAAACTATGCTTTTCAAAATGTGCGAAAAATCGCGAACTTGTTCGCGATTGAAAATTGTTTTATTCTTTTACAGAAACACTTCCCACGGTGCTGTAATAAGTTCCCATCCAGTACATTCAACTTGTTTTAGTCGTGCGGTAAACTTCATATCACTTTGGAAGGTCCTCAATAGCCGTAGAAGTATAATATTATAATAATCGAAGCTTGACAATACGAGATCAAGGGTATAAAACTAGCTCCAGATGCTTAGCCCCCCTCCCCCAAGCTCATATATAAATTTTGAATTAGTGCTGTACTGAGTTCTGATCATCGATCGGCGGCCCAAATATCACGATGAAATTCCTTTGAATGACAGAAAATATACGCGCACATACGTTCATGTATCCATAATAAATTGCACAGTATTACGCGCAATGTTTGTAAATTGAATTGTTTGTCGCAATGACGTAGTTGCGACCATATATACCCACGTTTTTCGAGAAAAGATTCGGGTCTACATCAAATCCGAAGCACTCGTCAGAAAAAAAAGAGGTTCAGGACCCCACCAAGGTTGGAAGCACTTGGCATGGAAACCTCCTGGCGGTAAGTTGGTCTCCCAGGAGTTGCAATATACGGTGCTGGGGGAGGACGGACACGGTGGGAATCGACGTAGCACCGTGGGATCGGTGACGTCTCGGGATATTTCCACGTCGTCTGTCGAAAATGCAAAAATAGAAATCTGCACGGGCGAGGAGGAACAATCGGGATCCGCTGCCAACGCAACTGGGAAGTCGCGGCACGGATCCTCGGCCTATGTCTCAAGTCCTCCGCTTTACCCCGCTTAGCAGACACGCGAAAACAGCTTCTCCTCGGTCGCCTCGTAAAAGTCTTCGGGGATCTCGAGCTCAAAACAAACTTTTTTTTCTCCCTCCGTTCCGACCCCCAACAAATACCCATGAGGCCACCAGGGGTTCTCTCGGGCTCTCTGTCCTACGGAATCCGTTAAAACCACGCCAGTTCGCACACAAATCGCGAATAGTGCAGTCAAAACCCATGGTGGAAAAGTTCCGCGAAGACCGCTATATTCCGGTGGAAACGCTGAATTTGGCCATAATCCATTCGAATGATTAAAATACGCATGGAAATGCAATGAAATTAGATCGCCCTCTATTATCTCGGGAACAAATTTACCTCATTTTTTCCAAAATATTTTATCAGAATCTTTTGATAAATAAATGATTATGCTCCGGATTTGCAGTCATAATCGACGCGGAATTCAACGAACAGCTAGTAGAATTCGAATTAGCTGGGGTTTCGACCGGTTTTCTCCGCCCGGACGATCACGTATCACAGATAAATAATTAAAGAAAATATCGCTCAGCCCAAAAACAATATTTTAAAGAATTGATTAAGAAATTTTCACATATTTTCAAGTGCATCAGCATAGTCAATCAGAAGGATCAGATTAAAATGATATCATTCAATGGATGCTCGATTTTTCGCCCAATTGTGCATTTTTATGTTACGAGAACGGAGCGGAAATGAGAGCATATATGCAGTACACTGGAGTGGCAATTCTCAAATCCAAAAATGACCAGGAGCTCAGTTTCATAACTAGGCCTTGATTCAGGAGTGTGCGAGAATAAACAAACGGGAAGTGAACCGTGAACCACAAATTCGCGAGATTCAACAGTCATGCCGGAAGACAATAAGCAACGAAGGCGTTCGTCGTTCATCCCGACAGCCGAGCAGGTCAAGGCCCAGGAGTCCCAAAATCTTATCATCACCTACGGGATCCTCATTGTCCTCCTACTCATTTTATGGGTTTTGTACACTGGCCTTCATGGGGTGAGTTGGGATCCCGCATCCCAAAAAAAAAAGCGTCGTCTGCAGCAAATTTTAAAATCGTCTCGTCGCCGCGAGTACTTCGTGTCGCTCACACATGACACCTAATACATGGGTCTGACTGACATTCGACACCTTATCCCGTTTTACTTTTCGTTTCTAATTAGCTATAACTCAATGACAACGTCATCCATTTGAAAACCGATCCACTGTTTAAAAGCTGAAGACCGCTTTCAACGAGTGGCGTCGTATTGAAAACTTGAATGTTTTACGTTGCTCGACTTCTTTTCCCAGCAAAAATAATTTCTCCACAAATATTGTCGAAATACAGGTGAAAAAGTTATCAAATTATAAATTTATAGATTGGCTGTAAAAAAAGAATTCGTCAAACGGTATTGTTTACCAGGCATTAAGAAGTCGAGGAACGATATCGTGCGAGCGACACAAGACATTTTTTTTAAACCAATCAACTAACAATGCTTTCAAGAAAGCCTAAAGGATGTGTATTCCACTGTCGGAATTTGTCTGATGCTTGGGCTATTCTTTTTGAAAACACTTAATTTCGCTGCTCTGTGTATACGTGAATCGTTTTGTCTTCTTATTGTGTTAACTCCCGTGTCTTTCTGTGTGCATGATTCGTGTCATCAGGGAAGCGGTTAATGACTGCGCCACCATTAACATTCGGAAGGGTCAAGGCATTGCAGACCAGAGAAAATTTCAATGAGCGAGTATGACATCGATTTTAATCTTCGATGTGCTACCTCTAGTTTTGCTGACCGCCTAGATTTGTGTGTTTTATTTGTAGCCCGTAGCTTGGAAAACTGATTCCTCCGGAAATTATTCTCGGATACCAGCATGATCCTGTGATCCGAAATTCCACTTTATATGATCGTCCTAATGCTGCAAACATACACCGATATGGTATTTATGCATATAGGCAGCCAACAAAAATTAACTGTATGCGTTTATTTAGTGTATACCTAAATATCTGATGATCAGACGAGCCTTTAAATTTGATACACAATCACTCATAACTCTCGAAAAAAACTCTCGTTTTTCCAATCGAGGAAAGCTCAGAAGACCCAACACAGGGCATGCATGATTTATAACGCGATTAAAACTCTGTGACTGATTTTTTGTCGAACACAGCCAATAAACTGGAAATGGAATCCATGCGACTCCAAAAACCAATTTTTTCAAATTATTTTGACATTAAAGCCCTTCCCAAAAATTCAAGAAAAAGTAACGATAGGCACATTAAAAAATTTTAAAGTGCTTCAAAGCAATCAAAAATGGCATGACTGGATTTTTTATCCCTTGTCAGGCATACGCTAGATGGAGACAAATTCATGGCACTTTAATAAAAAATTCATTAAATTTTCAAAGGTGTCTAAATGGTGCAATTCCTGAAGTATAAATACCTTGGTTGATGCATCACCAGAGCACCTTTTTTCTTATGCCCATCATTCCACATCTACAGAAATGAGCTTTAAAAAGATTTGGGAATATTAAAATTCAATGAAAATATCCTTTCTAAAATCGTAGAGTATAAAGACAAACTATTAACCTTGGATGATTTCTCATCAAAGATTCTCTTCAAATTATTTATTCAACTCAACCTTATCTGGGAACAGGCTGAAGCCCTTGTGCTTCAAATTGGGTTCAGTAATTAGGTTGCAATTCTTATTATGCATACTTTTTTATCAGGAAAGAAAGGGGGTGTAGGCATTCACACCAGTTGTGCGGATGTACATTTTGGGATGCATTTTCTTTTCTTTTGGTATCCACATACAACTTACTTCTCATTTTTCCATTTTGAAGTGATTGAATGCCTTTGGATGAATTTGGGTTGGGAGGGGAGGAAGTTTTGGATGTAGGAATGTGGTGTGAACCTTGCGAACACTGAAAAGCGGAAAATAAAGCTTCCTGTTCAGTTCAATTCAATTGGATGGAGAATCAATTCGGAGGAAAATTGCTGAGGTCATTTACATACATTTTACTCCGGTGCTCATAATTTGGAAAGCCAGCACATACAGAGGGAGACAATTTCGAAAACCCTTCGAAAATTCTTGAAGTGTAGAGGAGAAACTCTAATCAGATGCCTTTGAACCCAAATAACTCAACGCCGGAACTGCTCGCTGAAATTAAGGATTCTCCTCCGATTGACCCGTTATATCTGCAACAATTCCTCGATTGCTTAGAAATTCAAGGTGCACTTTTTTGCCTCAGTACCGACTAATTAAAAATATCAGACATACCTATAGAGGATCCGACAATATAATGTGCAAGCAAAGAATCCACCAAGAATATACCTCACGTTCGAGTACACCCATCTACAAACCCATTGGAACTTGCACGAACTCACTAGAATGTTGGAAATGTACGCTTTTCGGGACCTCGGCACGTGCGGAATGACTTCGCAGCGGCTTTTGAACTTGCAGCCAATAATTTGGCACGTCGCAGAACCCCAAACGCATAAAGGTGTTCACTGATTGAGGATTCCTGGATCGAAAGACCAGAGCAGGTTTCATTTTTTTTTTCAAAGAATGCATGCGCTCAATCAGCATCCCAGAAGTATCAAAAAAGCTTTTCATTTTCCAGAATTGATTGAAAACGTTCGAAGTACAATAAATTAAAACGCATCTTTCTTCGCTCCGGCATAAAACGAGACCCGCTCTGTTTAGCCTTCGGATTACTTGGCAAAAAGAAAAACAGCAGTAAAATTGGTCTTCCGGAAAGTGGCGTTAAGTGGAAGAAAAACTCCGATGGTGATATGTGAAGCATTGAAGTATGACCCCCTGTTCGAAAACGCAGCTGCTTGAAGACGGCTGAAGCATAACCAGCGCACGCCAGCACGTCACATAAATAAATGCGTCCTAGTTTCCGATACCCGGCAAAAACCTCCAGAACTTTTTGGCCCAAGTTTCCCTAGGCAAAAGGATATTCGTTTAAAAATAGCTGACCAGAATAAGGGGCAAGAACCGATTTAAAAATAAATACAGCTCACCCACTACTCCATCACTCAACCAAGGACCCTGGTATCAGGCTCCTTGGCCAGGAACACATGTGGCCCGGAATCTTTCTGTCATCGGAAAAACTCCGGTAAACAAGAAGAAAACAAGTTTTTATGTCATTCCAGTGCATGACTGAAAGCCGCACGAAAACTGTTCCTTTCTGCTCTTTTTAAATCACGCAAAATGTTTAACCTATCTTCACGAGCAAGATTTTTTTATCAACGATTTATGCTGTGAAGCGAATTGAAATGGATTAATGCTTGACATTCCTCAAGTGCTTTCATTCTGTAGATAATTTAGAATGCTAGATATACGCTCTTATTAAATGAAAGCACATGGTTTTTCCAAGAAAAGCTATTTGTTCGTCTAAAAATCCCCTACGACTTGAATGCGACTTGTTGTATCCCAATTGATTAAAAAACTCTTGAAATTCACCATCACATAAGTAAATCATTTTTCCCGTAGATTCCTTCACTCCAGATCAACAGTTTGAATTGATCTCTTCGGCAATACAATTCCAAATTAGTCGTCCAGAAAAATATCAGGAATCGAATGGCGCAATTTTTCTATTCAAGGAGGCGACGACTGTCAGAATTCTCAGAAGCTCCAAAAATTACGCAATACCGGACACGACCTTTCGTCTGGAGTTGAAAAAAATCAGGATACGTCAGGTCAGGATAAAATCTTGACATAATTTTGAAACGCGATGGGAACGTATTCGAGGAGTCCAGGTTGAGTCATGTATTCCAAGAACCAAATGCCCAAGGCAACTTATACCCATACTGCCAGTGAATATTGAACCCGAAACACCCAAAAAAAAGATAAACCTATAGATTTTTACTACCCGAACCGAGGCATGCAAATATCGCGAGCTTCGCACTGCATCAACACGTCAGTGTCAGGCATCAATGCAGAAAAAAAAGTTCATGGTTTTTTAAAGATGATTTTTGCATATTTGGTTCTGTTCGCAGGTGAGGGATTAATTGGCTGAATCTCAGGAATGGCATGTGAGCCAGTTCCCACCAGGGTTCAAAACTGTTCATCGCAGGAGAAAACCCAGGCATAATTCAAAATGGGATGGTCAAAAGCTGTGGAGAAACGAAATCCAACACGAGCTCTGCGTCAATTCCTGAATCATCCGTTTTCCCTCGCGTTTGTTCCCATTGCGGTCTTTGATTTTGATCCTGAATGTATCCAGGGCTTCCAAATGTTTACAGCAGTTTGAGTGAGAAACATCTGAAAGGGTTTTTACCATCCCTTACTTCAAATAAATGCTTTACCAGTGTTTTGCCCCATGTAGCAGATTCCCGTTGGTTTGTACATTATTTTAATGCCAAGGGAACCTTGGTTATCAAGTGAAACCCGACAATCAATGGCCTCAAGCGTGGAAGTTTACCCGCATCTTGTGAACAAGGAATTAACATTAAAATGCTTTTCAAAACGTTGCCCCTTTCTTGAGCAGCTTCTTCGCGATTTTGCAGCTGGAAAAAGAAGACGGATTCATGCCAAGTCAGGATCTACTGAAAAATCCTACCTGCTGCAGGGGAAGGTTTGATCATGAACCAGATGCGTCAAAAATCACCAGTAAAATTTCTTCTATCTTTTAGGTGATGTCACAGGTATGTTGGCTGCTCAAAATCCTTCGATTTGTTCAAATATTGAAATTTCGTTGAGCTCTCGTCGAAGCACAATTTCATCAACAAGCATAAATATTTCTATGCCAAAACCAACCTGGCCAGTTGAAGTGGAAAATTTCAAGTTCAAAATTAGCAGGTCTTTCCCAACCCAAGATTCATCCTCAGGCGACTTTAGCAAAACAAAGCTGGATATTGTGGAGGGAACAGATGTCATTCATTTTTGATCATAAAAAGGCACCCCATTTACCCTACACGTTTGTTGAACAAAAATCAGTTTCTGAAACAGAGAAGATTCTTCAAATCTTATTTTTGAAAGGAACTTCAAATTACTGTACTTTCACTAAACGAACAGAAGCAAAACACACGAAAAACTGTTCTGATAGAGACCAGTCAAGTTCTTCTGAAAAAAAACCACTTTTTAGCCCATTTTTTTAAATTTTGATTAGATATAGGTGGGTGTGACTATTCAACAATGTCTATTTGTGTGATTTGAATTGTTTCTGAGCGAGATTTATCTTTGTAAAAGTGTACTGTGTGCGCGTGATGATGGACGAACATTAAATATTTCGAGAGGGCTTTCCTTCTGAAAGTGACCTTGGTCACCTTACGGCTCATTGAAGTGTTCCAAATTCCTGCAAAACTTCGCTTTAATTATCAAACAATACACAAACAATAGGTAATCTCAGCGCAACAGCGTTCAATAAAGGACTTTTCGCGCGCCCAGATGTCCAATTCACACTCATTGAAGTGTTCCAAATTCCTGCAAAACTTCGCTTTAATTATCAAACAATACACAAACAATAGGTAATCTCAGCGCAACAGCGTTCAATAAAGGACTTTTCGCGCGCCCAGATGTCCAATTCACAGTACACGAGGGATATCACAAACACGGCAAATGCCTCGACTTGAGGACTCAAGTTAGCAAGACGGTAAAAATAAGGTCTCACAGCAGCCCAAAATTCTGCACGCAGAACATTTCAATGCCATGTCTCAGCGTGAAGTCTCTCAAAGGCTTGATAGCCTACGGGACTTGCTTGACCTTGCTTCTCACGGAGAAGTGGCTCACGTTCGCCATTGCTCAGCCTGACAGAGAACGAAGGAATGAAAGCCATCAGCAGGTCAGAATTGGATTTTTATTGATATGAAAAGAATATCTCAGCACGTGAAAATTTTGAAGCCAAGCACGAGCACGTCAGAGCAACGTTGATTGAACAAAAGCATCGCTAGAACTGGAAGTTTTTGCCGGCGTTGAAACTAGCGTTCGTATTTTTTATGCGTCTATTGGGTCTTCTTAGGATGGGTGTTAACTTTTAATTAATTTCACTCTAGTACGTTACCGTCTGATACAAATTAAATATTCATGATGGACGTCGGCTTCGAATGTGTTCGAGAATTGTGCGGAATTCTACGCAAGTTTTCCCCCCTGCAAAACGGTTTTCGCTTGTCGGCATTGAAACAATTCAATTTAATTGAACAAAAGTCAACTGCATCGACGGGAAATTTCAAGATTGGGAATTTAGACGATTTGAATTGACGAAGCAACGATCATCTTCGAAGGAAACGGTTAAATATGGAGGTGAAACTTTACCCCAGCAACAAAGGTAACTTTAATTTGCACCCACAATTAATTCATCAAATGAAGTTTCCAATAAAATAAATTTCAAGCATGAAGAGCGAACTTTCCACGCCGAATAATTAAAATCAAAGTATTCGTTTCTTACACGTGATTGACGTGAACAGAAAATAAATAAATAATGTTTTCATCCACCAAAAAAAGGGAAGTTCAACGTTCATGCAGATCTACGTCTCTTAGGCCCAGATACTCGGTTTTGTTTGGATTTGAAAAAACGCAACTCGTGCTTAAAACGCTCTTTTCTTACGTAGTAGGTAGCGTTTTTACGTTAAGTCTTATGTTCGAACGCTTCTTAACTACCTCAACTACTATATACATATTCCAATTCATATTGCCGGATTGTCAAGTGCAAAAGCCTCTGCCATATGGCCATTTATACAGTGGTGACGGTATCAGCATTGAAATGAGTTTATGCATACCGAGAGACGGTTTCCAACAGCAGAGAGCTTGCGTCACTTGGACGCGGACTCGAGAATCGCTTCGAACTCCAGCCAAAACACGACATCAAAAAATCAATCCAGTTCATGCACGGAGGAAAACACGACGGTTCCTGGTAAACTGCCATTCCAATGTGCTGATCCGTCTTGACAAAGATGAACTTTTCCAACGCGGATTGCGGAAATCCATTCTTATCGTATTCCTGCACAAACAAACGCAAATTCGTGCATGTAACACCGGTTGACAAATAGCGCCAAGGTAGAACATCGCTTTACTCCAATTCAATAATCTAAGAATATCGTCTGAAGCAAAATGTATCACTTGAAATTCGATTGCAGCTGGTGCAAATAATTTGAGCAGCTTATTGTTGTCAGCGCAGTAGTTGAAAACACGCACTCACCTTGATAGTTTCGTAAGTGTCGAGAATAATGGCGGTGAACAATGACAGAATCGCGTAGATGAAGAGTGTGATGAATGAATATAGGTAAATGCGCGTGTACCACCACAGCAATGGGGATTCAGTCGCCAACGACTTGAACGTCGCAAACATGTCATCACCATTTATAAGCGCAAATAAGCACTCCGACGTCGACGATAGTGTCTGGAACTGGATGGGAGGAAAATTGAATTTTCCGCATATAACGCATAAATACTACATGTTTTTTCATGAATGTTGGCACTCTGTAATTATTTACTTCTGTAAAACGTTTAAAATTGAAATCTGGGGAGTCTCTAAACTAATAAATGAATGTTCAAAAATGTGACGTGAAATGTGAACAGTAGACAAGGTACAGGATTAATCAAGAGCAACGATCTAAGGAAAATTATCTGCAAAGCATGAAATGTTTAATTAAGATATGAAATAAACTTTGAGCATATTTTGTATTACTCGCATATTAATAGAAATGAGAACTTCAGATTGGCTTTTATTCGAAAAAGCTCACTAAGAGTCTTGACAAACCAACGAAGAATCTTCGAAACTCCATCTTCGGGTGCAAGGAATCATGAGCTTTTCGATATTATGTAATAGAAGGTGCACTTTGAAAGGGAATAAGTATCCTCACATATTGACTCAATTGAAAAACTGAAATAATTTAATGCCGAAATAAAATTAGAGGGGGGATTAGATTCACTCACCTTGATGTGATATGGACCTAGAACCACCCAACCACACAAGGCAAATCCGGAGTAGATGAGGATCACGCAGAGCAGGAATCGCAGAATATTTGGCATAGATTTCTTCAGGGTCAAGATTAATATCTGATGGTGAAAACAGGACGCGGAATAAAAATTTTACCTTAAAGCAAAAGTTTAATACTTACATTGTACTTTTGAAAAAAGCCAAGATATCGCAACACTCCCACCCACACCATAAGGTTTCCAGTTCCCAGTAGAACTCCGGTCACATTCCACCAGTCTCCTATCGCCTGTGACAATGCAAACCTTTTTTTTTACTAAAGTTCTTGTGCGACACGGAACAAAAAACACTTACCTTGCTCTCCACCATTTCTTTTATGATAGAGCCAGAGATGATCAAAACGTCATTCACCAGGATCATCAAGTACCACAAATTCAAAAATTCCAGCTGATCATTGAGCGAGAGAGTCGTGTTCAGGTACCGACGGAAGTGACGTGCAGTCCGCTGAAACATATTTATTTCAGTCGACTTGGGAAACTAAACAGTTTTAATCAAGTTCTAATAATCTGCTTCTGCCTCTGTCCCTATACTTCGCCCTATTTCAGCACTTATAAATTAATGGAGAAAGTCGACTACTCGGGCTTAGTCACGACGTGCACAGAGGATGAATGAACAAAAGCAACACAGGACGACAAGGCTATTCATGACTGTGCGTATCATCATTGCAGTAGTGTTGTGGCCTGGAAAATGAAGCAAGATTAAAGTCTCTTCCGGCGTTCTTGAGCTATTAAACACAAAAGTCTCACCAATGGATTCCGTATCTCCCTCGCACACAAGTTTCTCCGCAATAGACGATAAAATAACCTGCATCTGACCATCGTGGTCTTCGTTGTTGAACAGAATCTGAGCAGTGCAGCAAATGAAGTGAAAACACGAACCAGGGTAAACGTTACCATATCCGTATCAGCTTACCTTCACATTGAGTTGGTAGCAGTCTGGTGCGTCCATAGGCATCATTTTCCGGAAGTTGATTGTTTTCAAATCAAATTTTATTTCTCCGGAAACAAAATCATCAACATTTATGGAGAAGTTCTTCTGAGCCATAAAGACACGACTGTCAAATCTGGTTGAGATATTCATCTCTTCGTACGGGATTTCAATGCATTCTGAAAGGAGAACTATTTTATAATTATGGAAAAATATAAATTGAATCAGGACTTACTCGTGAGAATTTTTCCATCGAAGATATAGCTTTCATTGAATGCCCAAATTATTCCACGCTTGTAATAATGTTTACAGAACGTCACTGGAGGAACAGATCCATCCGGATTTGAATAAGAAAACGACGCAACTGCTTTCTCTCGAATGTTGGCATACTGTAATAAAAAATTGGGAATCAATCTTCCATGAATTGGAAATAACAAAAAGCATGCGAAGTACGGATTTTAACTGCTCCTGCATTATCAACGCTTATAGTAGATGGAATATTTTATAAGTCCCAGCAAAGGTAATAAACAAAGGCTAACATTTGGTATGAAAGACAGAGGATAAATTAAAGCCGTGTTCACCGACTCGTGGTCCGCAGACCAGCGCTGGTCCGCAGGACATTTTCTTTAGCATGATAAATTTATAAAAAGTAGTGATGAAGCCTGATATCTTTATCTGAAATTTCGAGAAGACAATAAATGCATTTGAAATTATCTGATGAAAAAATAAATCGGCTTTTTTCTTAATATAGCTCTTCAGACAAATTTTCACCAGCTGAAATTAAGTTTTTCAAGTTTTCATTTTGAGAAACCTCTCTTCAAGCCCAGCTATCTAATATTTTGAAGACATTCCACTGAATAATTTTTGATCTTAATATAGCTCTTCAGACAAATTTTCACCAGCTGAAATTAAGTTTTTCAAGTTTTCATTTTGAGAAACCTCTCTTCAAGCCCAGCTATCTAATATTTTGAAGACATTCCACTGAATAATTTTTGGTGGTTTCATTGGTCCTCAACTTAACTTTTGCAAAAAATCAGAAAATTTGTAAATGCCTGCCATAAATTCTTTTAAACCAAAAATTTTATGAAACGTTGTTGGTCCGCAGAAATTTTTTTGAAATTTGCCAGTCCGAAAAATATGTTGTGCAAATTCGCCTGTCCAGGGCCCAGCAAGGTTGATGAACACTGAACTAAATTATTTAATCCCCGAACATTTTCATAAAACTGATATGCAATGCATAAAAAGCTTTATAACTCACCGCGTCAACAGCAAAATCAATCTGATCAAAAAATTCGCTCTGAGTATACAGAGCAAATGGTCCACTTTCTGGCCCTATGCGGTGGTGAAGGGACCTGCGAAGGGTCGGGAACTCCTTGTTCACAGCGTAACACCAAAGTTGTCAAGATCACATCAGGTGTACTCTTATTGCCATGGGTCGTTTCTCCCAGTCGACTTTAATCAATACAAATTCTTGTTAGAATACTACAGCACAGCCAGCATAAAACGACATTCGAGGGAACCGGTCTCATTCACAGATAAAACAAATTAAGTGTACGTGGCATTGTATGAGAGATACGATATAAATTTCAAAAATTTTGAAAAATCGAAATTTCATAAAAGTGCGGGAAAAGTGAACATCTCACCTGTGTTGTTACAAAAATAATCTTCAAAACTTGCAATATCAGCTTGTACGGGAACTTTCCTTTCGATTTCCATTTGTCCATTGGATTCAGGAAAAAGAAGCACAACGATTCTTGCAGATCTGCGTGGATGTGGCAGTGAAGAGGAACACTGCCGTTCTCGTCCATGGAGTTTGCGCTGGTTTTATACACACCACCCTCACCATGACCAGTCAATGTCGCTGACATTTTCACCTGAAATTTAAACACGTGTACAAATACTTTAAAATATGACCCAATAAAACATGCTTACTGAACTAAGTTCTCCAGGAATACCACGCTTGATCGTGAGCTCGAAGTCGAGGAGGAATGTCGGCGAGCAAATATTCAATTGCAGCAGTAGCCTTGCATCTGCACCCTCAGCAGAGAAAAAGATGCTTGAGTCGACAAAGGCACGGCGTCGTTCAGCAATCAGATTAAACCCTAAAAAAAATTGCCACCACATCATCAAAAAATAGAGAAATCAGACCACGACTGAAGACAGACTGCAAAACCCTGCGCCAACGCACTTGGATGGAATGTGAAACACACGACGGGTCAAATTTCCAGTACTGCACTCGTCTACATGAGATGATGACTCAGGCCTGGTCCACATCCACCGAAAGAAGTACAGTGGTGAGCTTTTCCGGAAAAGCATTTATGCATGAACACTTATGCTACGCTTCCTACGGCTGAAAGGTAATTTACCAATTTCTGAAGTGACATTCACTTCTGCAGGAAAAAATACGCAATATTCAGTAAAAAATGAATTTCAGCGGAAGGCATTCCCTATACCTGGTATAGCACAAAATGCGAGCTCAGTTCTTCATGGGGAGTGTATTCATGAATACATTATGAATATATGTGTTTTTTTATTGAATCACTAGGATGAAAATTAAAGCACAGATTACTTTAATGTTTGCATTCATAATTATTCTCCAACTGCATGTACATATACCGCACTGTACTCGTGGAGGGGTCCTGCGGTAAAGAGCTTTAATTTATCTTGCTGGTTGCTTTTAATAATTCTTACAAAGTACTGTAGTGTAGCAAAGACGGATGCATTTTATTTCCATCTCACTCTCCATCATCAAGCTGGGCTTTGAAAAATGAAAGACCTATACCAGAAGCGAACATTTGTAATAAAAACGTTAGTTTCTATAGACTCTGTTCCTGAAATTCACCATATAGATTAAAGCTACTGTATGACGTTTCCAAGGAGTTAAATAATTTTCGTTGAGAAATAACCAGCAGTGTATTACGAATCACATGGAAGCAAATTGCATATATTCAAATTGATGATCGGCATTCATGAGTGATCATGACTTGTATCGTGCATTGGCACCTGCAGCTCGTGAATCATCTACACTCCACAGTGCGTATCCTATAAGAATTTTTTTTTCATAAAAATGGCCAAGTCTAAATTTTGAAGGGTTCGTAAAAAAACTGTCCTCCATAAATTAACTATGGCTCCAAAATGAGTGCAATTACTGATGATTAAAAACTTTGTTGCTATAGGTTTTGAGTTCAACTTGCCAACAAACAACTGACCAGCACTCCCTAATAAGTGGCCTTAGCCGGGTGAAATTGATAATCGGTAAAGTGGCAGACAAGAATTATGAGTTTACGAGTAGGTGTGGTGTTATTGGATTATTGGAGCAGTTTTTAATTTTTTTAATGTTTTTGGAAGGAAACGCGAATCATCCTGTAGTTCATTAAAGTGGCCGCAGAGGTCGCGTTTGCATGAGGTACACTCGGTACGGGTTGGTCACCTCTCCGAAACTAGCGCCAAATTTATTTCTTATCTACTTCAGGCCACCATGACGGTGTACGCGCAGAAGTTTTCAGCCCTTCTATTTGAATAAAGCGAATAAAACACCAGTGTTTAGTACTCACTCGCCTGCCAACGTATCTACGCTGTGTCCAGCCCAAGACAAACGTTTTCGCAACAATCACTTTGTTGAATCGGAGACAGATGTACTTCAGTATACAATGTCAGCCTTTTGACCTTCTCAAGGGACAGATAATGGGAATATTTTCTCGGCGCGTGTGGCTTGAAAATTCAGAGTTTGGAGCGCTGACAACAACAGCTTGGAATAATTTTAACCAATGACTAAAATAATAATGTTCGATGAGTTTATATAATTTTGATGAATATATCTCATCATACTCGTGTATCGTATACTCATAGGAGACAACTATGTTCTTGCCTGTTTTTTCAATTTATTGAAAGACGCCGAAAAACTGTAAAAATTTTGAATACAGATTGAATAGAGCAGATCTTTGAAGCTCAAAGATCCGTAGTCATTGCGTTATTTATGAAAAAATCGTCCCCAACATTTGTTATTACGATTAGACTTGTCGGTAGCCACATTTCACCCACATGCTGCGAGGATGAGTTTTTAATGGAATTTTCAAGAAAGTACTGTAATTAATGTATGCTTTGAGACCATTTGATCCCATCAACGCTTCTTTATTAGCTGAAGCATATTGATGGACTCGCTTCAAGTTTTCATCCCGATTTTCCTTTTTTCCTGAACACAAACATCGTGTCAGATGCGTCTTTTCAATCACAGCACTGACTGCAGTAATCCCGGTTGCATGACAATATGTACGTGACACTCACAAAAATACAATATATCAGCTAATTATTCCGGGCTTTTGAATAAACAATTTTAAATTTCAAACCACTTTTGACGCCACACCCGGCATTGAAAAAAATATTATTTGGCAGTTTTAGAGGTTCTAATAACCCAGCCATCAGTCGGTGAAAAATTCCGAAGACCAAAATAATACTGTACTAAGTTTCTTGCTTTAATCCACTATATTCCTTCACAATTCTGTAATTTTTTTTTTCAGGAAAATCTTTCTGCAATTTCAAATGTACAAGGTTAAGAAAATTCTGTATATCTAGGTACTTTTCTACAAGAAAAAAAACTTTCTGGCCAGGTTGAAAAATGCATTTTCATTTTTAAGGCAGCCGAAATATAATTGCCAACATATTGGGTATACATTTTTCGTTGTACATGGATTCTATAGTCCCAGCTCCTACGTACCTTACGCGCATATCTGAGGGGATAATTTACAACCCATATTTCATCAACTTCAAAAAGTGTGTGCAAAAATATTGAAAATTTTCAGTAAATTAGTCGTATACAAAGGTTTCGTCCATCTTTAATGACAGCCTATCGCGAGACTATTAAATGTCAAAAATGCTGTACAGCACTGTACCAGCCACGAGATGCGGCTTGTGTATCGAACCCTACAGTGAAGAAGCCCGCAACTAATCGTCTATTGGCACTCTTTATTGAATAAATGCAATTTTTACAGTTATACTTAGTTCTGGGGTGCATCTGCTCAAAAAGAATGCCCTGACAAAATTATTTTCTGAAGTATAAGAGTCTTATTTTTTGCTTCAAGGTACAGTACAATGCCGTGCGCTGATCCCCGCTATTAGAGCGGTTAAATTAAATTGAAAATTGACCGCGTATAAGCCTTTCAAAGGTGTGCGAAAAACCGGTACTAGCTTTTCAAACGAATTCTGGACTTGAGAAGCAAGGAAACAACCGTGTATGTACAACAAGCATTTCGCTTTTGAAAGAAAAATCCAACAAAATACTGTACTGAAATGGGCAGTCCTGCAGAAAAAAATGCTTCTTGAATCGTACGAAAATTAAAGAGCGCGAGAAGCGAACTGATTGGTACAGTACGTAATGTACACTGAATAAGCATTGATGGAATCAAAATTTACAGTTGATCACGGAAGGAAAATGAAACCGTATATTTCCATGGAAAGTAGCTGCACTGTTTTTGCAGATTTTTCTTCACCTACTTCGACGAACAAATGCCGCCGAGAATTAGTCGGAAGCCGAGAGTATGAAAAGCAAAAAAGGATACATACAATTTACAAAGTATTTCTCACCTTAAATATCTCAAGCAGCGGAAACTTGCCCAAAAGCGTCTCCATCAACAGGAGTGAACGAGCGATATCCCGAAACTCGCATCTGAGACTGACGATTCACATGGAACACTTGGACTGTATAAACGGCAGCGTAACGAGATTTTGCGGGTTTTCCACCCTCAGGGAATCCCGCCAAATAAGAGCCTCTACACTCTTGTAAACCAGGCAACAACAAACAACAAAAAAACCTCGAGCCCCAATGATGGGTTGCCCACAAGGTCTTCGCAGACTTGTTGACGCCAAAAACAGCCCCATTGATTTCATCGTTCCTGGGGCAATTCCCAAAAGAAACTAGGAAAAGCATTAAAAAAGGTTCAAATGTTTACGAAAATTTTTAAGCATTTTAATCTCAAATGATTTAGATTACTTTATTGGCCTTTTCGAGTTTCGTGGAAAACGTTGCGCAAGAATTCCCCATTTCCCTGCCATTGCTTCCAGAAAAGATTCGAGCATGTTCATGCAAATCTGCTCGGAAGTTAAAAACAAACCAATGCCAAGAACCACGAGCGCAATTGATGCATTCGATTATTACTTATGTGGAAAGCCATTTCTTCAGGATAAAGCCACTATAATTGGGCGTCAGTTGGGGATAGAGTATCGTGTGTCAATATAGGAAATCCTTGGCGAAACACGAAAATAAGAGAAAAGTAATACACAATTCTCATCACAGAAACAACTGGTGACTGCAGGGGAAGATATTGATTACTTGAACCCTCAATTGTATCGGAATGCGTCAAAAACGAGGCGAATGAATTTTCAAATTTCTCATCAACTCTCTTTCATTGAGGACGGGTGCCACTGTCCTAGACTATCGTTTTGCTCTCGCTACTTTTAGCCTTACATCGAGCTCTCTAATGAACGTTTCATTCAGGTTAATGTTTAATATGGAAAATTGGCAGAGACGGATTTTTTTTTTCAGTGTGTCTCATTGATCGGAAACAGTCTAAAGGCAGCATCTACTAATTTCCCTCGAATATTCTCCGAAACAGAATACTACGAGCTCAAAAAGTTTTATAAGCGCAGGATGCCCAGGACGCATTGCACTAAACCTTATTCAGCACATTTTTCATACACGTAAAATCAGGTATGTTGAGTTCTTCTACAGCTATAAAAAAAGTGCGTTTATAGGACCGTTTTCTTTCAATTGCGGCAATTTTTTCGGAATTGCCGCAAGAATTTGATTCTTTCGACGAGAATAAACAATGTTCTTTGCATCAAAAATGATTTTTCCGGAAAATTTCCGTTAGGC